ATTTTGGAAAACTATTTTCTCATCTTTTTTCTGACCATGGGAAAGCTGCAGTGGCAATGCAGACCGTACACTACTTGTGAGAAGCTGCGAGTCTTCTAAGCCTCCCTTTATGCCATAAAGTTACAGAAAAAGGTTATCCACTGTTCTCAGAGAAAATAAATTTGCTCCTTCATCAAGGGATTTTTAACACGACAAAGTATTTCATTCTACTGTCAGAATATTGTCGATGTTCTGTCTCAAACTTACCTTCAGATTTCTGCCTAATCTTGCACCTTTCCTTTGCTACTGATCACTCCAGATACTCTTATCACCACTTGTTCATTCAAACCCACTCAGCTGCTTCTCCTTCATATTAGTTCCTCACTTCATTAGCAATTGCTCCTAAATACAAAACCTTTTATATTTTCTGTAGCTGCCAAGCAGTATTCTTCATGTTCTGCTCCTCTCCATCCACCCTATTTCTCCATGCCCTTCTGTACAATAGCTACACAGTCCCCCACTCACCAACTCCCTCTGAGATTTTATCCACTCACTTTTCTTTACATTTCAGCTGATATCAAGCCACTCTATCTTGTTTGCACTGAAAACTTCACTAGTTAAGCTGGTTTGGTCTCTGAGAATTTTCTAGAATACGTGTACTAGTACAAAACCAGTTGCAGTTATAGGGGTTTAAGTGTACATCATACAGACACCACCTTTCCACCACCCCGCATAGAAGTTACAGTTGCAAAGAGGTGTAACTGCCACTGCTCTAGAGATGTTGAAACTTCTTTAGCTTCATCAGTAACTTCAGGTAGCGAAACTCATGTTCAGGTAAGACTTATGTTACTATCACAGTTGATAGTGGGTAAACAGACCACGTCACGGAATAGACTCGATAAAAAAGGTGGCTGAGCATACGCTGTATGAATTCGTAAACGAAGCACGAGGCGGCAGCCAAGAGGATGTTGGTAATAGTCCGGGCACACCCTTCTCACAGGGCCAACGGCGTGCTGAGCTCTGGGGTTGACCCGACATAGTATCCCTCATACAGTGAATCAGTATAGGAAAAAATACTGAAGTCTTAAGAGTAGATCGAGAACTTCAGACACAGTAATGTGAATGAAACAAAGCTCTCACTTTCAAACATGTCTTTATGATACTTTGATAATTATCCAGTTGTTTGCTGTAGGTACAAAGCATTGCAATCTTTCTAGAGTACAGAGATAACTGGGCTAGAAAATAACCCTTGAATATAAAGAAGAGACATTCACATTTAACCTACATATAATTAACATCAGAAACTATTTGGATACTAATATTGAAGGTTTCATGGTACAGAAGACTGTGACTCACCCCCTCTGATCAATACAAGCAGCAGGCTACAATCTGAGAACTGGTGAAGGCAATCCCAGCCTTCATCACCAACATGCACGTAATGAAGAACTGCTTCTCTAGAAAGGGCTCTACGTTATAATCGCCTAATTGTAACAAAAATACATTCAACTTTAAATAATATTTTAAGTCAAGAGCCTTAGGGCTGGTAGCTCAAAAAGTGCAAAATATTAAAAAAAAAATTATTGGGAAATCTCTTACATGTGTTCTTTATCCTCTTTGCCAGCTTTTAAGTCTGTTTCCTATTCAAAAACAGATTTGTAACTCTGCAATCACTACAAAGTAGTAAGATTAACTAATAGCTCATTTAAAAACTAAATTTGTGAATGGATTATGGACATTTAGGCTGTAATTTCTGTGTCTTATTGCTAGCAGCTTTTCTACTGCTCTGCTTAGATACTATCACTTTTGCTTTAAAAAGATCAACGCGACAGCTCATCACAAGTCAAATGATTGAAAAACTCTTCTAAAAAGTAAGGAAAACACAAGTGTTTAAGGTCATGAACAGACCCTCAGATCAAAATATCGCCGCATTTAACTACTACTAAACTGGTCTTCTCTTCCAGCATTACATTTGAGTAACTCAGAGAATTTTCTTTAGCATATGCTTTTAGAAATCACAGAATGGCTGAGGTTGGAAAGGACCTCTGGAGGTCATCTGGTCCAAGCCCCCTGCTCAAGCACAGCCACCTAGAGCCAGTTGCCCAGGCCATGTCCAGATGGCTTTTGAGTATCTCCAAGGATGGAGACTCCACAACCTCCCTGCGCAACCTGTGCCAGTGCTCAGTCACCCTCACAGTCAAAAAGCATTTCCTGATGTTCAGATGGAGCCTCCTGTGTTTCAGTTTGTGCCCACTGTCCCTGGTCCTGTCACTAGGCGCTGCTGAAG